CTCTGCACCCATTCCAATTTAAGTTCATCTTTTCATTCATTACACAAAGAATGCTTTATTTAACAGTTATATCCTCCTACATGGCATCTTCTACAATTGTAAACTGTTCATAATACCTAAAACTACATTTGTTTTATTCATCATCATGTTACAAGTGACTTCCAAATACTTTAGAGAAATTATTGAACAGTATTACTCAAAAAGAAAGAGAGGGATCAGTGTTAGTTGTTTTAGGAATGTCTACACATTTTCATATGTCTACCTATTTCTATTAGGTTAACTTATTTATAAGGGCTAGTCTGAGGCTAAATATTTGCAAACAGCTCTGAGATGTTGCATTTCTATAGAGCCTTCTGCCCAAGGATCTCAAAGCACACTATGAAAGTAGGTGGGTATAGTTGTCCCCAATAAATAGATGTGAAAACTCAGAGAGGTCCAAATTAAGCAAAGCATTTACATATGTACTGGAGATTGTCCCTATTCAACCTATCACTTAAGCTTAAGTTCCATTGATGCTAATGAGATTCAAGCACATGCCTAAAGTTAAGCATGTGCTTAAGTGATAGGCTGATTAGGGATGGATTGCTGAATCAGGACCAGAAAGATTGAGTGACTTGCCAAAGGTCACAAAGTCAGGGAATAGACTCTGGACTCCCAGTCCCACTGGAGTATGCTGCCTCTGTGTGGTGTGTTGTTAGTATAAATGCAAAATCTTATAATGCTCTTCAACCAAACTCCTGATTTATCCAACTACTTTGTGATCTTATACGCTGTGATAATCAAGGGCTTTTCTACGCTACCACAGCCTGGCCTGGGATAGCTATGCCAGCCTGGCCTGGGATAGCTATGACAGCCAAGCCTCCTAGTGGAGACACAGTATACAGCAACAGAAGGAGTTCTGCCAGCATAGCTATACCACCTTCCTGTGTGACATTAGTTAAGCCAACAGAAGCACTCTGCTATTGGCATAGTTATGTCTAGACTGGAAGTTTTGCCAGCCTAGCTATATTGGCTGGGGGTGTGCTTTTTCCCCCCCCACTCTCCTAGCCAACATAGCTATGCTAGCAAAACTTTGTAGTGTAGACAAGGCCTAACAAAAAGCAGTTAAAGGGATTGTCAACACATGCTTGCGAAAGGCTGTGTGGACAGACTTACATGAGTTTAAACCACGCTTAACCTCTTTTGAATGGGTTTAAAATAAACTGAAATAAATATGAATTAAACTGCAGTGTGTCCACACAACCTTTTGCACTATTCTAATTTAATCAGTTTAAAAATCACACCTTTAGTTAAACACTTACAACTCTAAATGTAGAGAAGCCCATAGTCTTGTAAACTCTAATAAAGTTCTCTCTTGACCCTACATTTCCCTTTGGACTGTCAGTGCCATCAACAGCCTGGTCAGATGCTGAGTGCACCTTGCACATGAGGGTGATTGTTTGCATGTGATTCTTGTTTACACTAGGTTTTATGGCACGGGAAAGTATTGAAGCCAAGCAAAAACGATATGGAAACCCAAAGCCTCCACCACCTCAATGAGAAGATCTTCCGAGATGTACGAGTCAATATCAGCATGCTCCCAATGGGGGATGGAGTGACACTAGCATTCAAGCTATAGTATGAGAAAACTTCTGGGCAATGGAAGGGAGACAGAGAAGCACCAAATAATCAGGCAAAACTAAGTGGAACATGAGTAGCATCTGTAATGTGAACCTGTGTCTCAGCAGAATAGCATAAAGCTGGAAAAACAGTCCTTGAAATGACCAGAAAAACTACAGGTATCTAAATACAATGGTAGAAAAAATATTTATATTAAAATTTAGTATAATTTTATATCATAATAAAAAGAAAAACCCACAGTAAGTTGTCTTTGTAAGAGACAGTGATAGAGGGAAGGAATCTCCTTAAGGGCCCACTCCTTCAAGACACTGAATGACTTTATTATTACTTGTATTATGAGATACAGACATTCCCTATTGTAAAGAGCTTACATTTACACAGGCAAGACAGACAAAGGGTGAGCACTGAAAGATTAAGTGATTTACCCAAGATCCCATAGGGAATCTGTACCACTGCCAGGAATGGAGCCCTGAGGGCTCCAGGCCCAGTTCAGCGTGTTAACCAAAAGACCGTCTTTCCTTGACTTTCATTGCCTTGAAGGGGATTTAACAGTGCTCACCATCTCTTAGGAGTGGCCCTGTAAATCACTCTAGAAATGAAGCCACAAAGCAGCATGAGTAACCAGGAGAGGAAAGCAGCTGTAACCCAGCACAATGAAACTATGCGCCACTGACAGAAGAGCAAAAGGGTCGCTCATAACAAAGCTGAGAATGGGAGGTAGCATAACATTAGCGTTGCCAGGAGACTGGTGAGGTAGGAGGACACCTACTCTGGTTAGATGATTGCTGATTTAATCCATGCAGAGGACATAGCAAGATGCATGCTGCTGTTCCTTGTTATCTTAGTTACTGAACAAGTGGTGGGGATGTAATGGGTACAAAATGATGGCTGCCACTGACATTTAAGGTCGTGAAGACCTAAGAAAACAAGAGATGAGCACTGTGTAATCCGGCTGTGAGCTCCCTGTAAGATCAATTTCTCAAACAGCATGGAGCCTGTAGCATTGCTGTTCATGCCCAGTACTTGGTACAGTATCTCCTCGTACACTGCAGTTGTCACCAACCAGTAGATGGCCATCTTCTGGTGCAGCAGGGCTGCCACTAAGACAGACTTCCTGCCTGCCCTAGCCCCAATGGCCAGTGCAGCCCCGGGGGGGGGACAGGGATCTCCCTTCGTGTGCTGCCCTTCTCTGCAAGCACCACCCCCACAGCTCCCATTGGCCAGGAATGGGGAGCTGTGGCCAGTGAGAGCTGCGGGGGCAGTGCTTGCAGAGAGAGACAGTGTGCGGAGCCACATGCCCCCCACCCCTCCCTTAGGGGTCGCAGGGGCGTGTTGGCCCCTTCCAGGAGTGGCATGGAGGCGGGGTAGGCAGGGAGCCTGCCTTAACGGCAGCCTTGCTACACCAGAGACCAGGAGCTGCCAGAGGTAAGTGCTGCCCGGCGGGAGGCCACACACCAGCTCTGAGCCCTCTCTTGGAGCCAGCACCCCATACGCTCTCCTGCACCCCGAACTGCCTCCTGCACCCTGAATCCTAGCCCTGATCCCCCTCCCAGAGCCAGCACCCTGTATCCCCTCCTGCACTCAAACATTCTGCCCCAACCCTGATCCCCCTCCCAGAGTCAGCACCCCATACCCCCTCCTGACCCCAACCCCCTGCCCCAGCCCAGAGCCCCATCCTGCACCCAAACTCCCTCCCAGAGCCCACACCCCCTCCTGCACCCCTACCCCAGCCTGGTGAAAGTGTGTGAGGTTGGGGGAGAGCTGGGGGGATGGAGAGAATGGGGCAGGGCTTTGGGGAAGGGGTGGGTAGATCCTAGGTTGCCCTTAAATTCAAAAAATGATCTTGGGCATAAAAAGGTTGGAGACCACTGTTGTATAGCTTGTGCTTTCGCATCTGTCATTTGATTTGTCACACACTAGTCAAAAGAGACTTGTGTGTGACTTGTGGCCTATGAACCTTCCTCAAGAGACTGTCTACTATTCCAGCAGAAAACTCAAAGCAAATGCAGCTTGACAAGTATTGGGGTTTTTTGGTG